GCCCGAGGCTTTCAGATCCCACCCCGAGGAGGGTCAGCCATAGGAGTAGGCGATATTAACCCTACACAGGTTTCATTTCTCAGAGAATAGTGCTCGGATTTACTTTCATCCAGTAGCAATCACTTCCAAGCAGCTCCAAAGCTGCCTTGCCTTGACTGGGGAAGTACTGCCTATACTCTAGCAATATTCACCGTTTTGTAAGGGGTGGGAGAGGCGCTTGAGGGGGGAGAGCTGATGGCTTTGGGCCCCCAGGCCAGTTTTTTTGGTCTCCATGGAGTGTGGGGGGGGCCTCTGAGCCCCCGGTCAGGTGGTGGGCGACTGCCCATGCTGCGGATTCAGCGTTTTGGAGAGCTGGGGAGGACGCGGGGCTTGTAGCAGCGCTTTGAAAAGGCTCCTGGCATGAGTTACGATGGGAAATTGGGTGAGCTGCCCGGGCTGGAGGAGAGTGCCTGCTCCGCACGGCGCCCCGGTAGCACGACGTCAGAGCAACAGCCTGTACCCCGCTATCGGAGGGGTCACAAGCCCACTGCACACTGGTCCCCGAGATGCTTTTTTAACTGGAAGGCAGAAACACAGGGTACCCAGTCCCGCTGGCCGCCTCGCTGCCGGCACGGGGATGGGGCTGGGCTTGGGAGCTGCCCCCGAGGGCCGCGAGGAGGCCGTGATGAATTCTCATTTTCAAGCACTGTATCCTCTTACTGCATGTCGAGTTCCGTGTGTGTGCCTGTGCGTGCCGAATGCTTGCGTCAGTAGTTAGAGCGAGTGGGACCGGGAGAAATCCAAGAAGCATGTCTTAGTGTCGTGCTGTAAGTGTTACTGCACAAGAGTTTATCAGATGTTAACACCAAATGACTAGTCTGAGAAATGTACTTTTAAAAAAAAAAAAAAAAAAATTATTTATTTGGGTTCAGATATTTTTGAAATACAAAAAAAAAAAAAAAAAAAAAATTGGTTGTATTTTTTAAAGCCTATAATTCTTGTCATACGTTGTGGTTAAATTCTTAATTTTACCGTGCTTATTAAAAAATGGTTCTACCTAAGCTTTGTGCTCAGAGAGCTGAGGAAATACCAGAGATGCTGGCGAGGACGGGGTGGTGATCCCGGGATGGTGATCCCGGGAGGGGTGACAGGGACAAGTCTGGACCTTGTCCAAGCCTGCGGAGGCGGAGAGGCACAAGAAAGGGGAGCGGGCTTGTGCGAAGGGGAACCCTCGAGGCCGAAACTAGGGAGGCTTTTACGGCCGTGCGGGCTGGGGTGCAGATGAGCGCAGCGTGCCTGGCCGTGGCGGGGTGCAGCCCGTGTCCCTCC